CCTCCCGTGCCAGGGAGCGGATCAGGTCGCATCACCCTGCACTAACACAGCCATCCAGCCCGGCCACCCTCTGCTGCTCCCACTCTCTGCCAGCCTACGGGACTTTATCAGCTCCAAGGGAGCCCTAGCCAATGGAGCACTCAGGAACGAGCCTGCAAGGACAAAGTGCAGCCCTGCCCAAGTTCACAGGGGTATTAAGAGGGGTAGATACGTCCAGCAGACGAGCTGAAGTCAGACAATCCAGTCTGTACTCCCAGCTCTGCTCCCATGGTATCCTAAGCAAAGCACCTCACCTCTGTCTCTGTTCGCCCACCCATTCTATACTGCATGGCTTATTTAATCTGCAGTCTCCTTGGAGAAGGGACCATCTCTTGCTAGATGCACAGAAAGCACCTGGCATGCATGAAGCCTAGCTCAAGGGAGGACATTCAACTGACATTGGATCTTAAATAACAATTTTGCCTCCTCAAATCTTAAAAAGCCCCTATTTTCCCTGGCGTAGCCACCTCTTTCCTGACTACCTTTTAATGCCAAAAATAAACTGGCCATGAGGACATTGGTTCTCCAACTGGCTTGACACCTCTGGGTTTATTACCAAGCAGTACAAGGCTTCCTGCTTTCAAGATAGGAAGGTGTAGAAGTGTTGTTTCTGCACATCTGTCTCTTGGATGACCAAGCACATTTATCTTCTGTACAGTTTCACACAGTTAAGTGTTCTGCCAACCAAATGGCAATTAACAGCATATCAGTCTGCCCTCTCTGGCTTATGCATACCATAGATACAAAAGTCAGTGCTATAGGGATGCTTTTGCAAAACTGCAAATGTACTATCCTTCCCTTGGTTACCCCAGATCACAGGTTGTGCTGCAACAGCTTGTGGAAAACTGCAGGCCTAGTAATTTGTGTCCTGTATCTGTTTCTGTGAATGATCATAACACCACAGCTCTCATACACGCTCCTTTTACCAGCAATAAATTCAGTTAAAGAAGAAAACCCATTGAATTTCCCTCATTAATTCTCATACTCTTAGTGAGGATCCCCTCAGATTCACCCTTCTCTCTTCTACTGAGCACAACACTTGTAACAGCATCTGGATAAGGTGGAATCTAGGCTTCCTTATGCCATATAGGGCTAGTATTTGTTGCAGTAGGTAAATGAGATCCCTGGGATATGATGAATCATTTTACAATGCTGCTTCCTCCAACCTCACGGATTTCCCCTCCCCTCTCCCCAATCTATGAATCAATGGTGCATTGCTCATAGGTACAGGTTTAGATATGTCTCCCCACCACAAAAGCACGCTAGAAAAGCATGTCATATACCCAAGAGGTATACAAAGAAGGGCCCAAACCTCACTGGAAACACTCCCTGCACAGCCCCCAAAGATGAAATCATACCTTTAAAATGTCCCAAACAATGGCTAGGCTCTTGGGCGAGTAAAAAGATGGGAAGAGAGGGGGGGAAAAAAGGTGCTTTTTAAATGAGTCAGTCAAGAGAAGGAGCTGAAATCCTGGCCTTGATCAGAGTAGAGCTTGGCCCTTTTGGGCAGTTTTAGGGAAGTCACCTTTCTTCAACATGTCTATTTTGCCATGCCACAGCACTGCAAATTACCTTACATACCCAGCTTTCTGACAGAGTATACTATCAAAATAAACAGGACTGGTTTAGTATGTGAATAACTGCTCGCTGGAGAGGGGCACGAGGCTGTTAACTCGCTGCAGTAGGGGCAGTTTTTCAGCACGCAGGTGCTGAACACAAGGAAAGCTCTGCAGTTCCCCGGGGCTCACAGGCATGGCAGGCAAAGAAAGAGCTACCTGGGGGAAAGTACTATAGCACCCACACTCTCAGGGAGTGGCTGTGTTTGAATGAAAACATCCACATGACTATCAAAGATAACTGCTCACATATTGTGCTTCAATAATCTAAGCAGGCCTTCACTGGATACAGCAGAAACAGTGTTCTTCCTTTGTTTGCCAGGCCACATGCCCAGAAACACAAAAGCCTGCCTTTAATTTGCTTACAACTTCCTTCTTTCCTAGCTCCACTTAGGGCTTGACACTGCTCTCTAGCATAAACAGCTCTTTTCTAGTATGCTAGCTGTTTTACCAGCAGGACTAAGGAGATACTGCCCCAAAAGGCAAAGCTTCTTTTCAGATCATTTTCTTTCACAGTGCATGGAAAGGATCCAGTTTCACCTTATTTGTATTATGAAAAAGTAAGCAGCAGGAACAGATAAGCTCATAGTAATAAATATACTATGAAGATAAGGAAAAAATAATTGTGAAAAGCTAGTCCATGCAACAACTTAGCCAGTCTCAGAGTACTAAGAGACCTCTGCAGGCTCTGGAGGGAAGTTCTCTGCCACAGCGAAGACTAAAAGGAGAGGCTCAAGGAGCTCTCAGTATCTCATAGACATTTGTTTAATCTTTGTTAAAGCCTTGGAAAGTGACTCCTCAACAGGCTGAGGCCACTATGACCCCTTCAATCACTGCAGCAGCTAAAAAGCCAAGCTTAAAATACATTTTTGAGCCAGGCTTAATATGTATATAAGGTCTCCAGTGGAAAATAATCATCAGTCCCAGATGCACATACCTGCAACACCCACTTTCTTGGCTTTGCTTTTCTCTTTTCAGCTCAGCTCACAGTAGCAGCAAACTCTAAGGCAGGCTCTCTTGTTAACTCAGAGGGAAGAAATATCACAGCTACCTTTTAAAACCTGCACAGTAGCTAAACAGAACAGGTCAAGCAAATAGGTTAAAAGAGTCCATTTTCAGAGCACAGAAAAAGTTCTCCTACCTCCTCAAAGAAGGTACCACCACCTTCAAACATCCTATAGAGAAAGCCTCTTGGAAGGCACACAAGCAAACACTGACAAATGCCTTCACCACCTTTGTGAAAAGCAGTAAAATAAGTGTGGGCAGAGCTCCTCAAAGCTACTGACTGCAGCTAGGCTAGAGGAGTTTCCCAGAACTTCTTCAGCAATTATTACTAAACCATTTCTTTCCCTTGCACAGTTCACCTCTGAGATCCCAGAACACCTTGACCACACTGAGGCTCCGCTGCACAGAGCCCAGCTCCCGAGAGTCCAGACTCTTACGCAGGAGGGGGAGAGACTGCAGTACGCAGTCCGTTGCTTCAGAAGCAATTACAGCCTGGGATGGCAATTCCTAATAGGTTTCTATCTTTGTTGGTGGAGTCACAAAATCATTGTTTCCATTTTTCATTTTGCTTCCTTTTATGAACAGCAGCATCACATTGTCTTGCACGTGTGTATAAGGGTGGGTGTAATGCATGTCACCCCAGACTGCAGTGCACTGCGTTGGGGTGTATCCCAATGAACTCTTGTAGTTTCCTGTCCCTGAGCCCTCGAGTGACCAAACCGAGGCCTGGGCAGCCTTGGACACTGCTGCTTAGGGCCAGCTGCACTGGTGGCTTGCTTCTTGGAATTTGGGGCTTGAAATGACTCTCACTGGCCAAGTATGTGAACAAGTCTGTAAATACAGAATGGCTCAGACCAGAAGCTTAGTTCTTTGCTCCAGATACATCTTACTATAAATAAATTAACCTCCTCTTCCCCCTCCTCTTTTTTTTTTTGTTTTTTGGAAGACGGGGTGGGGAAATCGGGTCAAAAAGATTAAGCTTCAAACACAATCAGAGTACATGTATTGACCTGTGTGATGGTAGATTTTGTTAGAGTTTCTGTGGGTACATACATGTATCATGTCCTAAGTTTAACCCTTTAAATGCCCAGACACGATTACAGCTGACAGAATCCGACAGCTCTGTCTCTAGGCCTGCAGGTGCCTTCCGCAGGAAGGATGGCAGCAGAACCGAACATCTAGCCTACAGGAAGAAAAATATATCCCTGAAGAAAAATAACAGTAGGTATATTGCCTTTGTAAACCAAGAGCACCTTGCCTCGGGATACAGCAACTATGTCACAACAAAACACAGTAATCTATGGGTCAGATTTGGGCATGTGTGTATGTATATACATATATTTTAAAACACTATCATTTAGGCACCTACTTTTCAGGCCCCAAAACTGCTGACTTATTTGGAAAATCCATCCTAAAAGGCTTGTTTTAACTCTGAACAGCCTAGTTATTTATAACTGGTGTCATTCTACCACACATATAGGCTTTCTCAACCCTTTGTTTTTTTGAAATTCCTTTATTAAACCATGCCTTTATTTAGATTATAAAATCTTTGTGGCACGAACTGTTTTTCTTTTCCTTAAGTGTCCAGTTCACTTCTGGCATCTACAAAATAAATCATAGAGAGGGAGACACCAGTTCAGCATTTCCAAAGCCCTGAGCAGAATCTCTTCTAGTGGGCTGCTTGGGAAAGGAAAAGGAAAAAGTATCGTTTGCTGAAACACTACTTCACATGGCTCACTGGAGACGCCTGTGTCAATCTGATAACAAGACTTCCTGTATCCCATACAAAGCTGGCAGAGATGCATTAATATTGACAAGCACAAAAAGCATGGTTGAGCTTTTGCTAATTGTTTATGAACTGAATAGCCAGCATTTCTTAAAGAAATAAGAGCAGAGATTTCAGGCCTTGCAGTAAAGCTTTGTATACCCTCTATTTAATAGCTGCCTTTGTTTGGATTTGCCATTCTCCAAATAGTTTGCCATTGAAAGATTTTTTAGTTTAGGAAAATCAGGTAAAGAAATGATCAGAAATATATAATAAACATAAATGTTTTTTACCTGAGTTAAACTGAACGAAGTAGGGGCAAAAAGTAAAACTAATGTAGGTGCTCAAACTGTGAAAGGAACAGAAGTCTGAATTGTTTTAAAAATAGATCCTTAGCCATGCAAATAGAAAAAGCTATACTGACGATAACAGAGCCATGCTGATTTCCATCATCTAAAGAACTAGCTCAAAGCTGGATTTTTTTTCTTTGAAACAAACAGCTCCTCTTTCAAGATAAATATTAACAAACAGGAAAGCCCTCACATCAATAGAAACAATAAAGCATCCATACGCACCTGTGTTTCCTTGGATGTCCTCTCCCTTAGTTAATGCCAGGTAAGAGAGCAGAGCACGGTTATTGTCCTGAGCAGGCAGAGGCGGCTGCTGCAGAGCAGTGCCTGTGAAGACCACTCCCCAGTCCACACAGCTTATATCAGAGCGGGACCTGTTGTGTCCTGGCTTGAAAGTGGAGGCTTCCTCATTCTGCACCAGGATGTCGTTCACAGAGCGAGGCCTGTCTCTCCTCCGTTGACAGATACTGAAGATGTTAAAAGCTGAGGTCTCCCCTTCCCCTACCCAAGCAAGGTTGTTGGCAGCTCTTCCCCTCTGCACCACAAGCTGTTCTTTGGCAGGGAATGCTGTCTGGGCTTTGGTTTCCAAGAGGCCATTTTTGCAGCGGTCCCAGATGAGGCTAGTTTTGGCTAAGGAGGTGACGTTCCTTAGGTTCCTGCTCTCTGTTATCTGATCAAATACCTCGTGCTCAACCAGCTCAGGGACCTCCTGTACACCATAGACCTCCGAGGGCTGCACGATCTTATCAAGCTTAGTATCAAAACTATTGAAAAAGTCTTCAGTCACTTCCAAGGCAGGGCTAATATCATCAACTTCGAGAGCCTCCATATCCTGTGCTGCCAGCGGCGCCAAGGTGTCGTGATGAGCTAAGAAGATATTGCATGAATATCCAGGCTAAGAGCTGCTTCACATCTGCCCATGCCACTCCATTAACTTAGAGGTGGGGAGACAAACACATTCACCAGTCAAAATCCTTAGTGACAGAAAGGAACCAAATCAACCCTCGTCTTCAGATGTGAGACTTAACATCCACCGATCCAGTTGGTTATAGTTGAGTGTGACTCAGATACTCTGTGGAATAAACTTACAGAGATGAAGAGTGCCTGTAAAGCAGAGCAAAACATCATTTTAATAAGGGCCTTTTCCCACGGAAGGCTGTTGAAACACTTAACTCTTCCCATAGGCCTAGTTCCTTGATTTTACTTTCTCTTTCATTTGGCGCCAACATCAGTGTATAAAGTATCCCCTTCGGGGTCTGTGCTGTTCACTGTATGTGAAATTTGTGGATTATTACATCTTGAATTGGAGGCTGCGGAAAGAAGGGTGGAGCACTAGAAAAGGGGGAACCACAGTGATACCATTTATTAGCCAAAATAAGCTTTGGAGAGCTGCACTGAAAGGTGGTATTGATCAACACTGCAAATGCAGCCACCTAGGGAATGCTTGGTACATGCTCCCAAGAGGCTGTAAGAAAAAATTGAAAAATAAGGGTCAGCTAAAGAAGCCAACCAGCCTTGAATAGCTTAAGAGTATTTTTCCTCATCGACTGCTTGCATTCCCATGTTTAGGAGACTGACGTGAGTTTTGCAGCAGCTACTTTGCTACCTATCTGCATAAACAGGACTGTGACATTTGCCAAATGAATCAGTGCTAACAGGATGCTGCAGAGCACTTCACACGGGGTTTCTCTCTAGAATATCGCTGGGTACCTATGTGATATAGTATGATAACCAAAGTCCCAGATGGAGGACACATCCTACCAGCAAAACAAGATATACCATACCCAGAACTGTCAGAAACTTCAGATCTTTACTTCCAAGCAGCTGACTCACTGTGGAAAGCAGAGAGGTAGAGAAAGGCTTTCAGGCTAAAACCATTGCAGAGCTGTACTGACCCACCGGAGCTCAGTCCTGTGAGGAGGAAGGAAGGGGGTTCGTACTCCTTGCAGTGCAATAAGGGGGTGTCTCATTGCCAACTGCTGTCTTACCAGGCCTGCTGCTCCCTGTCCCCTCTGACCTGAAGCTCCACCCACAGCTCTACCACACTGCAGAGAAGTGCAGGGTAGGCGTGTTTAAACTGGAGAAAACAGTCACGTGTGCAAACTCTTGGGACCTGGAGACTGGTCATTTGTGCTAGCTAGAGAACAGGTCTTACTGTCGGTAGAAGAAATCGCAGCACCTATAGCCTGTACGCACAGCACAACCCAAAGTCATAGAGATCTATGTCCCAGTTTTGACCACATTAGCCCAAGCAGCAAAGCTGCATTAGCTCAGTGCTCTACCTAGATTAATATACTCTTAATGGAACTAATTAGCCTGGGCAGGGCTGATTAATTAGCAGCTCATTAGCGTGTGAGTGCTGCTAAAGTGCTACCAGGACCCATACAGATTTATGCTTAGCAGGAAAAAACATCAATTAAGCAGCATGAAACACACAAAATATTTTCATACATCCTTTCTTTTAATTCGGAACAGTCCATTTGCCTTGCTCCTGAGGAATTTGCATCACCTAGAGGCCCTCTTTCCTACTACAAGCCAAAGGGAGGAAGGAGGCCAATGCCCCCACCACCCCGAGAAGGGGGCACAGAACCCTGTAGCACAAACCACCCCTCTGCCACCACCCACTGGCTTCCCCCATCCCTGCCTCTGCAGCCATGACATGCTTATGTTTGAAGCAGCACCTCACCCTCCCTCATAATGGATCAGCTGTCCAGATCATGATGTTTGTAAAACGTTTTCCAATTAAATTATTTGAATAGGCAATAAACAGTCACATACATAACTATGGAAACTTTGAGCCTTCACACTGGGCTCTCTCTCCCCTTATCTGTTTGTAAGGATTCACTCCGCTAGTCTCATAAGGAACCAGGACAAGGATCAGCTTCAACAGGAAAACGTAGAGTAAGAGAGCAAAGGTAAAGCCAGATCCATGACCAGAGGGCTGAGCGAAAAAAAGATGTGCAGTGGTTTCACATCAGGACAGTATGGGTTGATGGCAATGGGAAATTAAGTTGTTCCGGGCATATCCACATTGTTAGCTTAATGCAGCATGGAGTTCACTCTTGAAGCTCGCTCCTGCCAGCGTCCTCAAAATAGCATTCTGCTCCCCAGTACTTCAGAGCTTGGGAGCTCCAATAAAGCCAGGATTTAGCCTCCTTTCCCATTTCCAACACTAAAATGCAGCATCTCTGGAGGAAAAGCAGCAGCTGCTGCTAACAGGCCATGCTCTGCCTCAAATTTCATCTTTTAAAATACTAACACAATGGCTTACCATGGAACAACTGTAAACAAAGTGCTTTCAGTTCCTGGCACCTGGAACACAAGACAAGACCTTTCCTGGGCCCTGCTGGGGCCTGCATTTAGACAGCTTTTGCCTGGAACATGCAGGTGAGCAGGACACACGCACACGGTAAAGACTGAATGAAGACAGGGTAAGGGACAGGATGTGATGCAACATACCCACTTATTCTGTCTTTAAAGCAAGCATAGTATTTCAAAGTTGCAAAATTGCAACAGGCATTCACTTGAATAAAAAGAGCACTGACTTGATCGTACACCAAACAGCAAGAGCTACAGGCTAGCCCATACAAAGATGCCACTTCACAGAGGCTGGCAGAGAACACAGCCTTGCTCCCACACAGCCACTGGAGCAGCAACCATTCCAGAGGGGCTTGTGATACGCCACTGAAACATTTCAGAGGAAGAATTTGAGTAGTAGAGAATGAAAGGTTGCTGTGTTCTTTATTTTAAATCATTAGAAAAGGTGGAAGGAAAGGGGAGAAAATCCACACTTACATTTAGCAGGTTCATTTTTGAATGCTGGAGGCTACGCTTCATGCACCTGCAGGTTTCCTAGATCCTGTGATACTGGGTCTAACCGGTGTTACGTAGACAATTGTGGTCTTGCAGAACTACAAAACGATTTCATGTCCAATAAGATGCTGAATCACAAGGTCATGGGAAGATGACAGGCCCCTGCATCACATGGTTCACAAATTGCAACACTGCTACCTTCCAACCTCCTCTGCCCTGCTCAACAAATGTGTGAAAGATGACCTCAGTGGTGGGGGCTCATCCCCTCCTACACAGCCAAGGACCTCCTTACATAAAGGAAGCACTGTGCCAACCGTGCAGTATGTTCCCACTAGTGCTGGGATTCTGCAATTACATATTCTCCATAAACACAACTTGGCATTTTCTGACAGTGGCATTCAACATAAACAAACAAACAAAAAAATCATTAACTTCTGTACTGATTTGGTGCCAAATTAAAGCAAATTTTGATGTGAAAGAGAACAGCTCCATCAGAGTCTCATCCAGGAGGAAAAGCAGTGGTAATCAATCCCTCCTACAAATGAAGGAGGGGGGAAAAGACAAAGAATAGGATAGGATGAACAATAAAGTGTACTGCTTTATGGTTCCTGGAAAAGTATGAAATTTTCCCAAGAAATTCCACCTAAGGTAGTAAATAGGAGAGGAGGAGAAAAGCTTCAGTCTAAGCTATTCAAGTTTGCCAAAGCTAGGGCTAACTGAAAGCAGGGCTTTGTTATGGGAAGCAGACAACCTAATAGCTCATCCAGGCCCCTGGGAACTAATCTTACTGAAAAAAAGTGAAGGAACATGGTGCATTGTACTTAGCAAAAACAGCTTGACACAGAACTTGCAGCAGCTGAAAAACACATATTTCAGTATGTGTATCTAGCACAGGCACAGCTTTCATCCACGCACATGCAGAAGTCAGATAATTAATGAGCACTTACAACATGAGTAAAGTCTTTACTGCCACGAGTTTATAATGGTCACATTACTCATATGGCTGAGGAAAAGAGCAAGGATTGCTGGTCATGCCATGTGAGAGAGAGAAGCTCAACTTAGTCAAGATTAAGCAACACCTAGAGAAGCCCCTGTGGCTTACTTAGGTGACACAGCAATCTGACAGCAGCGAAAAATCAGGGATGACACAGAGAAAGGAATGTACACTGGAAGAGATCATTTAACTTCCTGACATGCTCTTCTGGATTCCCATGTGACAGGGAAAATACCTGGGCATAACACTGCAATAATTAAAAAGCATGGAGCAGGCAAGGGTGGAAAGAAATCTTGCAGGTGACAGATAGCACCATAATAGGCATCAGCTGTGCACCCTAAGCTTATACATTGTGTTCAGGACTGTTCACTCTAGCTCTAAAAAGAAAGTAAGCTAGAACCAGGAGGTGTTTAGGAACCAGTGAGATGCATTAGTTCAGCAATCCACACAAAAAATATATACAAAAGAAGCATCTTTCAGTTTGGTTTCCTAAGTAAACAGGGTTTGTGCCACCGTCCTGCCTATCTACCAGCTATTCTCTCTCCCTCTTTCTTTTGAATCTGACGGCTAATTTCAATCAGCTGCGACAGAGCAGTAGCATCTGTAAAAATGCAGTTTTTGCACTATTACTGAGCATTGGACAGGAAAGAGGCCCAAACTCACACTCCTGCTGAGAGAGGGGCAGTTAGGACACAGTCCCTTACTCTTTCCAAAAAGCAGAAGCCACCAGGCCAATGCCAGCATCAAGGTCTCTCCAAATCAGCCACAGCATAAGCGGTTAGTGTTGCAGGGATCTGAAAACATTGTGGGAAGCAGAGGGGGAAAGAGGGATAGGAGGCATCTGAGATAACTTAATAAGAAATATTCTCGGTTTCAGTGCTCACAGAATTGCCTCTTCAGAGAACAGGTGATAGAGGCATGTAAAATAATGAAAACGGGGGTTTTCCCTTTTTTCTTGTATTTGGAGAGAGAGTTAGAGAGGAACAAGCACTGATGTTGACACCAACGTGTTCAGGAGGACGTGCATAAATTAAAGGAGCTGCCAGCCAGCACAAGATACCAAAAAGTGGAGTAATACTGTTAGAAGACCCCAAGTCTCACCAATTCCTAACAATTCTTAGGCTCAAAGACTCGGGAGGTTTGGACTTTTCGGGGAATTTGATTTCAGGACCACAGGAGGAGTTTTAAAAAGAACCTACATGTGAATAGAAAGCAGTGGTGCCTCAGCTTCCCCAGGCCCCTTCTCAGCCTCCTGGAGCCCCTGGACACTGGAACATCCTCCATCACTACTGTGAGA